TATGGGTGGATTGATGGTGGTGGTGCTGCGCTGCTGTCAGAGCTGGTGGTGGTGGTTTTGGGCCATCCACTAGTATGAAAACCACTTTTCCAATTGCACGTACACCACTACGTGGGCTGGGTAACAGAGAAAGAGACTGCGGAAGAGAGAAAGAGAGATGGAATGCTTCCTACCACTCCACCTTCCCCCTTTTTTCCCATTTCCAGTTGTTGTTTTTGTTGTTGTGTGGGTGGTTGGGCGGTTGTCAGAGAGTACAGCAATGAGAGAAATGAAAATGGAAGCGAGGACAGGACGAACAACAATGCACAGAGGAAAAATACAATATTTTTGAAACTTAAAGAAATGTAGTGATGTATGGCCAATGGTACGAGGAGCATTACTCCTTTTTTTTGCCAGTGTGATTGAGTGGGTGGTGAATTGGGGTGTACCATGTAGTGGTGGGCTAGCCCTGCTCTGTCGCTGCCGCTGCTCTGCTCACGATAACTTTAATTTGGCTTAATGGAAATTTTCGCTGGCGCTCTCGTTGTGCTGTTATCCTTAAGCAAACTCACGGATGCTGTGTCCCGACTCGCTCTTCATCTCTGACACCCCCTCTTAGTTTCCCAACTGGCCATCGTCCATGGTCCATGGTCCCTGGGTCCGCGTGTTAAGTAGGTGACGCAACCGCAAATTTGCGGCTGGCGATTTAATAATGCTAATGGTGTGCGTGTGCAAGTGCATTGGTAGTTGGCCGTTGCACGTGTAGTTGTTGTTGCTCTGGACCGTCTGTGAGTCACGTCATCATCACGGACGTCGTCGTCATCGTCGAACCATTTACGTCGTCGCCAGCCGGTAATTCCCCGAACCCGTAGCCATAGCCATAGCCATAGCCATTGCCATAGCCATCCCCCTTAGGTGGTGCAAACAAGTGCAAGTGATGCGCATTCATTGATAAGATTTCGTGCCACAACTCGCCGCTTCCAGCTGTCTTTGTATGTTGCCCGTGGTTATGTGTGGGCATACATTAAGCCAAGTCAAGACCGCGTTGCCATATAAGCTCTGTGCGAGCAAATCGGTCAACCTGGGGACCCAAAGAGCTAGTATATGGACCACTTGCCACGCTCTCTGTTGTGGTCAAACAGCTGGTAGCGTCACAACTTGCAATGTCATTAGCGATAAGCACGAGTTCTGAAATCGCTAGCGATCTACCTTCAAATCCCTTAGCTAGCCAACCTGAGGTTTGTTGAACCCACTTCTTACGATAGGCTCTTATCTTGGGCTCTGAACTTAACCCTCGTCCAATCGAAAGTCATTAACAGGGGGGCTCGGTTTTATGGTGCTAATACAACAACTGAAATATTAATTAATGGGGACTACCAATAGATATTAAAAATGTGCAATGATAAAGTGTTTTACAAAAGTTCACAGTATAGGTGACGTATATCTTGATTGCGATTTGGAGGCTAGGAAATAAGTTCAAAACGATTTATTTTCAAGGTAACAAAAAAGGTTATTAACCAGAATATAAGTAACTATTTTGATTAATTGTATGACTCTGTATTAACGCTAATACTAGCTTCTTATTAATCCCCCGTTTTATTCTATTCAGGTAAGTCACCATCAACTAAAGTTGGATTCTTTTCTGTTTCACCTGCGGGGCACAAGTCGTGACTGGGACTCAAATTGCTCATGCGACGTGGTGCCAGCCGCGTCCCCTTCCTTGGCAACCTTTTGTTTACATTTTTAGAAGACTGGCACCACAACAAACGAAAGGAGAAGAAAAGAAATACCAACTCCTCCTTTTTTTTATTTGATTATACATTCTTCATTGAGCAATTTGCGTTTTCGTGTTGCACTTGACCCAAGGAGCCGGCAACAAGTTAAGATGCGAGGGCAAATTAAGGGAGCCAGAGCATCCAAGGATAATGGTATTAATGGAGCAAGCACACACATACACACCCTCCGATACGGGGTTTAAGCCCCCCGAAGGCTTTTATTTTATGGCTGCCCCAGACACCAGACATGTGTGTGCGTATCCTTCGCTCGCTCACACACCCATGCAAATATAGCAGCGCGGCTGCAACCAAAGCGTAACCAAAACCAAACCAACCAAGTCGCGATTTTCATTCATAAAATCGAAGAGCCAAAGAAAATGGGCAACGAAGGAGGCTGCTGGTGCTGCGCAGCCGGCGTCGCTGCCTCTGCTACCAATAACTCAAAAGGCGCGCGCATTTCAGCGCACTTGTGTTAATGTATCTGAAAGTGAAATCACCAAAGGCGGCCGCCTCCTATATCCATGTATCCGTGCCATGCCGGTCCGGCGCCAACTCCAAACTATTATTTGCCAGGCCACGCGGCCAGTGCCTCTGCTTTTGTCCTCTGCCTCAGCTGACGTCGCTGCCGGCGGCCTCTGCCTGCTCAATTAAGTGAATTAAGTCTCGTGCCGGAATTTGCACCACCCCAAAAACCCCAAACGAGCAGGCAAAACGACGAAGAGGAACGAAAACAACAACATCAGCGCACATAACCATAAAGAACAATTAAAAAAGCAGAACAAGAAAGGAATAAAGATAAGGCGCAAAGAATCAAGACTGCAACGAATGGGAAATGCCCTTTGGCTTGGAAAAAGGTAAACAATCGATGGAAAGGTGCGAGATGCATTTATCAAAATGGATTATTGTGTAATAGAGAAAGGTGCCGGGCAGGGTTTTATAATGGTACTTCCTCTTGAAACTCCAACTTCCTCAAGTCAAAACTGCACTCGAGGAAACAAAGGTATTTACAAAGCATTGCTCGAAGGTTGGACCCATCTTGTTTGAGGTTCTTCTTTATATTGGTTAGAGCTAAACGTTTTATAATTCATCAGAATGAATGTGTTCTTCGTAAGATGATTTTTTACATTATATCAGTATTTATATCAGTATTCCCTAACTTAAAGCCGTTTAAAGTCTTACTATATGTGTTATTCATGGATATATCTTAATAATGTTGGATAAACAAAGTAAAATTGTTTACTTCTATAAATCTAACTAGTTTTAGAACATAAGTAAAAGAATCTAACAAATTTGAATTTCGAATGAATTTTTAAACTCTTTTTCGAGTATTTTACAGTATATTTATGTGGTTCCACCAACTGACCGGCAAATTCCTCATGACCTAAGCGCATTGTACAACTTTTCTTTACTGTCGAAAGAACTAAGAAATTAATATGAGCTGCTCCGCTGCCGCCAACGAAAGAGAAAACGTAAACAGAGCACTGACGCTGACGCCGACGGCGACGCCGAAAAGTTTGTTGCTGTTTTCTGCGGGGGAGCAGAAGTAGTGGAGGAGGGGGCGAAAGATGGAGGGGATGGAGGGGACGGTGGGCGGGCAGAGAGAGCAAGCATGAGGGAGAGCCGAAAAAGAGCGTTTGCATGTAATTAATTAAACGGCCCCAAAAGTCAGCTGTCTGCTGCCGCTGTCCAATTGTTGCGTTGCATTAGACGCAGCGCAGCGGCTTAGCCGGCGACAGTGACGCGACTGAGACGCCGACTGAGACGTTGACGCGGGCTGCGGCTATTTAGCATATTGTGCGAATGTGTGCCAATAGATGGCGCTGCATGATGACTGCCCTGGTCACCAAGTGCGAGGGAGAAGGACGGCCAGATTCAGGCAGTTGTTACTGCACTGTAAAACAGTCAAGAGTTCATACTTAGATATAGAAATATCACAATTACCAGTATCAGAAACACAACTCTTTTTATAACACACAAATAATTTTTTATAAAATAAAATGCAAAAAGTAAACAACTTCATCCCAAAATGTTATTGTCAAATATTATGTTAGTAACACATATTTAAGCAAATTAAGAAATTTAATCAAAGTTGGGAAATTTTTCTAAATTACCTACCTCTATTTAAAATAAAAAAGCAAGACAATTTTGAATAAAGAATTGAATTCCGAAAAAGGTATTGAAATTAAACTTGCCGTATATTTTATTAATATGTTTTAGTTAATGGTTTTAACCACTACCAACTTGGAGTCATCTCATTTCTTGCCGTGTTTTGGCAGTTGTATGGGGTTAAAGGGGGCACTGGCCAGCCTGCTGGCTGCACGTGCAACTTGTGCATTGTTTACATTGCTGAATGGCAGCAGCCACCGAGAGCGGGCATTGTTGCTGTTCTTGGGTTCGCTGCCATGTCCCTTTGTTGTTGATAACCGTCCTTACTCCTCGACTCGACTCCCATTATCCTCCACCTAAGTTTGCATGTCATGCCCAGAGCAACACTACCACCACCATAACAATCCACCACCCACTGAGGCAAACACCCGCCCACGCATTGCCAATAAGCTGGCATAAACCACATGTTGAAGCTACGCGCATTTGGCGAGGCGCCGCTGCAGGTGTGGTATGCCACCTGAGAGATTCCCCAATTGGCGAAGGCGCCACCTCAAAAGTCGTCTTATCAATCCTAAGACGAACTGAACTTGCGGCAAGTTCAAGTTGCTGATAAGTCAGTACGAGGAATTGGTACTGGCACTGGGGCTTTATCTTATTTACAACTCAGCTTTTGGCCGGGGTTTCCCGAAAATATATTATAATGGTTAGGGAATGTATTTTGTATTCTCTTAGCAAATCTATGGAACATATCCATTCAAATATATATTTCTATACATTAGTTTAGATCATCAGTAAATCAGGTAACATGAAACACTGTAAACTATAGATTAAGATATTGAATAGAGACGATGTTACGTCTAACAAATTATTAAAAGTAATTTTAAAAATTTACGTTAAGAGTTATTGAAAATTCTTTATTTTGAAATGTTCACAATCATTAGTAATCGCAGCTACCAACTTTTAATCTATTATGACTTTGTACAACCAGAAGAGCCTTTTAACACCGCATTGACTATACCAATATCGCCTTTTATAGTAAGACCCAAGATTTAACTTATCTTGGAAGATCCCGAAAAATCCAGAATTACTTATAAATATTTGGGAAGGGATTCAAATTCTTAAAGGACGTTCGAGACTCACCTCAGTGCACATTTTCGGCTGGGCCGTTCTCAGTTTCACAACGTTTATATCCAAATAGATGGAAAACGAAAAAAAAGGTATCGCGTTGGAGTTTATGTTCAGGGCGGTACTACGATCCCTGTCAGTCATTCACTGGGCGGCGTGGGCGATCAGAGGGCGGCCAGCAGGTGTCCCGAAGGGAAGCGGGACGAGCAGGCGTAGGAGCGACCCAAAGCGGCATCACAGTACTTGGACGACATGGCTGGCACTATCTGTTTTGTTCTCCAACTAATAATGGTTTTGTCACTATTTTAAATATTACTTCTCAGTTGGTTGTATTTCACACATTAAAACGGTCTGCACTTTTTCCGGGAAAACAGTGTTTCGAGTTGATAACTTTGAATTACGCGCGCTGGCGAACGTCGCTGGGTTTACGTCGTTTTCGAATTGGAGCTGGCAGGCGGGCACGGAGCGATTGAGCGACGTGGACCTCTCAGCGCCGTGCTAAAATCACAAATAAAACGCTCGGCGCTCAAGAAACATTCAGCAGGCAGCAACGGCCACGCATACTAGTGCAAGTAAATGCACCCCTGTACAAGCACTCTGAGTCTCGGCGTAGGTGCGAGCTAGACAGCTATATACGGCTATCCCGCTCTCTCGACGCGCACTTATGTAAAAAGCATTGAAACCGAACGAGTTTCTGGATAGCAGCGGGGGTGAGGGAGAGAGCAGCGGGAAGAGGGCGAGAGCGAACACACACAATACAGGGGCATTGCCAGCTGTGTGTGGGGCCGAGCGGTGTTGCCAGCCACCAGTTTCAGCCCAGCAACGCAAAGCAGAAATCCCAACAACGAAATATCCAACAACGAACTACGAATAACGAACTACGAACAGCGAAGCGAAACGTTGTGCAAACCAAAAGCAAACCAAACCAGGCGCTTTGGCCCGCCGGTTCGATTGTGGGAGCGGGTATTCAAAAGATACAAGCAACCGTTGCGGCGTTGCCAGAGCGTGCGGATGGATTTGAAAGTCGATTGGGTTTTTGACATTTCGGTTAGCGATTTGGGGATTTTTTCAAAATATTCAGGATTGACAAGGTGCAATTTCGTATGTGCAGATACTCTAATAGCGACTATGTTGATTTCAAGTACTTGTATTAGCTTTTAATTAACACAGTACTGTATGACTAATATTGCAACAATTTATGTGGTTGCTTCAATAATGGTCATATGTTAAAAAATTTCGATTATCAGTAAACATTTGTAGACATTAAAAGTAATTGCGTGATTTTAACTCAAAAGTACAAGTTCTCGGGAAAATTGATCATTTTGCTTTTTCAGGTTTCCCCTACTTAATATATGTACATGCATTCATATAAAGGTTTTCAAATATAAGAATGTATTGTATTTAAAGCCTAGTCCAATAGTACTGGTATCCTTACAAATAAATTTATTAGTATCTAGACAGGGTCATATCATATCCAGTAATTTTCCCGAGCCCGCCAGGCAGTAAGTCTCATGACCAAACAAAACCAAACGATACCAAACCGAAACAAGTCAATTCCGGCCATATGGCAACCCTGTGGCGCACAAGCGCTGACTAACAGTCTACACCAATACCACCATCGTCGTATCTCTCGTCCGGTGTGTGTGTGCGTGTATCTGTGTGTCAGTCTTGCTTGTCAGTTGGGATTTCGTTTCGTTTCGTATCGGGTCGTTCGTTTTCGTTTATATAAAGGTACATTTCCACATGGGCACATGAATGTGCGAGTGTATCTGTGTGTGAGAGGTATGCGGCGAAGGCAGCGACAAAGCAAACTGAGCTAAAGCGACTGAAACGTTCGCCTCGCTGCGAAAAGCAAAACTGAACTCGAGTTGCTGTTTCGTTGTTTCGCTGGCGACGTCGGCGTCGTCTCTCCCCGTCTTTCTCCCCCTTCTTTTTTGTTGTTGCTGGAACATTTTTGTTTATTTCAGCGGTGCGCTCGTATCTGTATCTCAGATGTTGGCTGACTGGTTCGCTTCGCACACTGGCAGTCGTATCTGTATCTGCCAGGTACTTTTTGCCCGCTTCGTGTGCGCTCTGTGCTATTTTATGCGCTATTGCCAAGATTGCTGTGCGAATTTCGCCTTGAAACATTTTTTTGTTTTTTTCTGCTTTTCGCCGAGCTTATCTCTTTTGGCCCAAAAAGTCGCTAAAAAATACAACTGCATATGGCCAGGCCAGAAAGCGCGCGCCACTTCTAATTCGCCTGGCCAAAGCGAACTCTTGATTGAAGGTCAGCGCAGGAGAAGTCGGCAGACCGTCGCAGGCTGCGGACCAACGCTGACTGATTGTTTTCGAGCTGCTGGCTCGGCAAATGGAATGGCAGTGCCACCAAACTGAAAACCGAAAAACCCAACCAAAATCCAACCCAACCCAACCAATTTTGCGTCGCATATTTTGCCGTATCCTGCTCCGCTGCTTCCGTCTCTGCCGCGTCTCAGTCGCTGATGTCATTACTTCGAGGCGAGCGGGAAATGGGGTTTATTTTTTATTCCCCAATCAACATCAAAGGTGGTCGTAGTCCGGGTTCTGTTCCAGCTGATGACGGACATGCAACTGGTCGAGGGCTATCGCTATCGGTTGTCGTTGAAGATACAATGGGTCTCACAAGGGAGTGCTGACTGTACCACTGGGGTTTTGATCAATGATCGACGCAGGGTTCCACCATGTTATGTTGGAAACTTTGGATGGGTTATTTACTCTATAATATTAAAAATTTAAAATATGTTGCTTACACTTTAAAATAATCTTTACGACCGAGCTAATGTAACAACAATCATTCCAATGAAAATTTTTAAAATGTAGATTGACTATATCTCTAACGTATGAATTCTTAAGAACTTATTTTACATAAGTCGTAAAGAATACTTAAATAGACTTAAAACGACTATTTTGAGATCCTTTATATTCTAGTCCGTAATATCGTTGATGGTTTCTTGCATTTTCCGCAGCATACTTTTGGATCGATCGATCAGTGCAAGTGGAATACAGAACTGGAACAAAGCACACCCGATTCCAGATATTTATTTCCTGAGTATCGCTATGCCGGGAGTTCCGTTTCTGTGCCACTTTGCTTGTTTAGTTTAATTCGTGACGCGATGCGGAGCAGCAAATAAATCAAAACATCGGTGTGGAGGGGGTAGGGTGATAAAAAATCGCTTTTCACGTGAGAGTAAAAGCTCCAAATGCTGCGCCGTTGACGGTGACGTCGACGTTGCTGTTACAATGCCGCTGGCAGCGCAGTTGGCGATTTGAATATGTTATGATGTTGATGTTGCATGTTGGCCCGCGTCGCCAACTGGTTTTATTTTTATTCTCTATTTCAATTGCGTCTACTTCCGAGTTCAATGCAAGCGGCTTTGGCTTCGGCAGAGGCGTCGACAGAGCCAGTGGCAGAGGCAAAAGCAGCGACGTTGCGCAACCGCCCACACGCGCTGCGGCTGCCGTTAGCTTTTCAAAATATGTGTATGTGCGTGTGTTTTGTCGAGGCTGCGTCGTGCAAATATTTTGCCAGCGTTCGCTATTCACACATATGTCAGTGGCCCAGAGGCTGCGCCACCCCCTGAGGAAACCCCAAACCCCTCTCCCCGAGCCACTGAACCACCACCCCCTCCAAACGTGTCCCATTGAAAGCTAGCCGGCACTCACTCACTGGCAAACAACACACATGTTGCTTCGGTTTAGATTTAGACGAGTTTTGAATGCTGAATAAATGGCCCGAGTGGCTAAAGGAGGAGGAGGACTTTTCAACACCACCACCATTGTACTAGCAACTGCTGCAACATCCACGGCAGCAACATCGCAGCACCGCAGCAACAATAGCGATCGTGTTGCAAAAACAGGTGTCCGCTTTGCATAGTCTTGTTTGGTTTTCATTGCCCGGAAAGCTCTGAGTATGGTTAACTGGGAAGTTATCGATATAGTTAAGTTATATCTATCTATTTTTGATGATTTTTCGTGGAACTCTGTTAAATTACCATACATATTTTCGTGTTTTGAATAATAATAGTAATTGAGAGAAATTAGACATAATATGGACAATATGCTACATGCTTTTACATATAAAACTATTATTATATTACTTTAATTTTTTGTTTATTTGAAAACTAGAAACAAATGTATTAAATTCATTATCGAGTTGATTACGTTACTATTAAAGTTAAAGACTAAACATTTAATTTTTTGCATACGAGGTCTCCTTATCTTGGTAAAAATTCATCCTACTTCAGATAATCGTTAATAAATAGCGATAGGCCAAGCTTTTAAATAACAATTAAGGAAATCAGAATACAATTTTAATGTGTTATTTATTAATTTGGTTTAGGCATTTATCTCTACAGTCCCCATCCTATTTTAATAAAGTTATTCGATACTGGAAAAGGCTTTTGCTTTGCCAATTATCAATTAATACATTTTTACTGATAGTAAATTACGCAATGCAATATTGGTTTTAATAACGAAACTGAGTAGGTATGTTATATGAACCTTTTGCTGATTTAAATTGCCTACGCAATTTCTTTTATGTAAACTGTAAAAATAATAAACTGGGTTGTTTTATTTCTACCATTTAATTACTTTTATCCTTTTGAGTTTCTCCTTTTTAAAAGGATTCATTACCAAATTATTGCTTGCATCATCATCACAGAATCTCAAATGGGCATGTGGGGACTTCATGCAACTCATTCGCAAACGAAGCTAAATAAAAGAAACGCGGAGCGAATGAGCGAGCGACGTTCAGTAATCGAATCAATTCAACGCCAATTATACAATCTGTCAACAGGAGCAGTGCAGGAGCAAAGGAGGAGCAGCCTGCTGGTGTGAACTCCCCGAACCGACGACCCTGACCGATAGCATCGCGCGCAACCTGCTGATAAGAAAACGTTCGAACGGGAAGCATTCGCCGCCGTTGTGCCAGGAACAATAATCAGCGACAGACAACTAGTCTTCACTGAGGAAAATGGGAAACAATTAGTGCGCAAGAAACAAAAGCCGGATGAATGCTTCTTTATTTAAATTGTATTTCTGCAGGAACATCCACAACTGTCCCCTCCCACAGGTTACTAATAAAGTTAACGTTTCAAGATTTCAAAACTTAGAGCGCTTAGATTTCCTTTTGGCCATATATCAAAAGTAGTAAAATTGTATAGTGATAGTAGTTTAGTAAAGGAAACATAGAATACATATTTTAAAAAACTTTAAACACTTGCAATATAAGCTGCGATTCTAGAAAACAAGATCGTGTGTGGATTAAAAAGTTTAAATAAATTAAGAGCTAATTTAAGACTAGAATCAAGAACTAGAATGAATTCTTAGCAGCTGCTTTTTCCCACAGTGTCCAAAAGACGTGCATCAAATCTAAAGAGAACACGTTCCTTGGCGATTCTGCACTTGTTCGCTCGCCCGCGAACCTATCGTCATCGGCCGATCCGATGCGATCCATTCATTTCCGCTTTGGCCAGAGTTTGTTGTTGCTTCGTGTTGGCAACAACAACATTGAAAAC